TCAGGGTCGGCCCACGTTGAGGCCTAGAATGCTGCAAGTGAAACGACGGGTTTGTCTCGTCCAGTTTTCGGTTCGCGCGCCTGCTGGTGGGTCGCCAGTGCGTCGCGCGCTACGCAGGGGAAGCGCATGGAGCACGAATGCACCACCTCGCGTTGAGCCCCAGAATGCAAGTGACACATTTGATTTTTCTCAACCAGTTTTCGGGTGGCCCACCCGCTGGCGGGCCACCTGCGCGGCGCGCGCCACGCAGGAGAAACGCATGGAGCACGAAGGCGCCACTCATGTTGACGCCCAGAATGCAAGTGACACTTGTTTTTTCCTTCTTCTTCTTCTGAGCCAGTACGTCGTCTGGTGACCCGCCCGCTGGCGGGCCACCTGCGCGGCGCGCGCTGCGCAAGGGAAGCGCATGGAATACGAATGCGCCAACTCATGTTGAGGCCCAGGCTGCAAGTAAAACGATTAGGTTGTCTCAACCAGGCGTCGGGTGACCCGCCCGCCGGCGGGTCGCCTTCGCGGCGCGCGCGACGCAGAGGAATCGCATGGAGTTCGGATGCAACAGTTCATGCTGAGGCCCAGAATGCAAGGAAAACGATTGCTTTTCGCAACCAGTGTTCGGGTGACCCACCCGCTGGTGGGTCACCTGCGCGGCGCGCGTTTCGCTGGGGAGCTGCGCGGGGCCCGAATGCGCCAACTCATGTTGAGGCCAAGAGCGCAAGTGGAACACAAGTGATTTTCTCAACCAGTGTCGGGGCGCCCCTCCCGCCGGTGGGACACCTGCGCGGCGCGCGCCACGCAGGGGGGCGCATGGAGTACAAATGCGCCAACTCATGCTGAGGCTGAGAGTGCAAGTGGGGCAATGTGTTTCTTGGCCCGTTCTTGGGTGGCCCATCCGCTGGCGGGCGACTTGCGCGGCGCGCGCTACACGAGAAGCGCGCGAAGCACGAATGCACCAGCCCGTGTCGAGGCCCAGAACGCAGGTGAAACAATGGGTTTGTCTCATCCAGGTTCGGATCACGCACTCGCTGGTGGATCACCTGCGCGGCGCGCGCTATTTTGGGGAAGCGCATGGAGCGCGAATGCAAAACGTCAGGTTGAGGCCCAGAAGGCAAGTGGGCTGATTTGCTTCTATCAGTTCTCTGGTGACCCACCCGTCGGTAGGTCACCTACGCGGCGCGCGCCGCGGGGGAAACGCATATAGTTCGAATGCGCCAACTCACGTTGATGCCCGCATGCAAGTGAGCCGATTCGTTTACCTCAACCAATATTTGGGTGATCCACCCGCTCCTGGGCCACCTGCGCGGCGCTCGCCACAGGGGGGCAGGCGCATGGAGAACGAATGCGCCAACTCATGCGCAGGCCCAGGATGCAAGTGAGACTGCGCGCTTCTCCCATCCAGTTTACGCGCGACCCGCCCGCTGGCGGGCCGCCTGCGCGGCGCGCGCTACGCGGGGAAAGCGCGTGGAATGCGATTGCGCCGACCCACGTTGGGGCCCCCAACGCAAGTGGCACACTTGGTTTTCTCAGCCAGTGTCCGGGCGCCCCTCCCGCCTGCGGGTCGCCTACTCGGCGCGCGCCGCGCGAGTGGGCCCGCGCGGGGCGAGAATGCGGTGGCTCATGTTTAGACCCAGAACGCAAGTGAAACAATTGTTCTTTTTCTCAAACCAGTTTTCGGGCGAGTCGCCCGCTGGCGGGCCGCCCTCGCGGCGCGCGCCGCGCGCGGGGAAGCGCGCGGCGCGCGAATGCACCGGCCCACGCTGAGGCCCAGAATGCAAGTGGCGATTTGCAGGCCGCGACCGCGCGCCGGCCGCCGCGGGTCGGCCGCGGGCTTGGCGGGCCCAGGATTTGCTCCGGGCAGGGCTCGGGATTAGTGGGCTTAGGTTTGGAGGGTGGGCAGGCTTCGCGGCGCGCGAGGCAGCGCGCGGCTTCCTGGGCTGGGGCGTGGGCGGGGGCATGAGCATGCGCATGCGTGCCGGTGCGCATGGCGCTGCGGTCCGCTGCCGGGGCTGGCGGGGTGCGCCGCGGGACTCTCGCGTCCGCGGCGTGGGCCGCCCTTCGTTCTTTGGTCTCGATGTCCAGTTGCCGGCTTCAGCAACTGCGCGCTCGCCGATGGCGGCCGCGCGAAGGCGGCCGCCCTCGCGCGTTCTAGGGGCCCGGGCTGGCCGAGAGCTCTTTTGAAAAGAGGGAGTTTTCAAAATTAGGGCAGGCGCGTGTTATTCAGGTGCTCGGTGCGCATTTTGCATGGGTTGTCGTTTGGCGCAAGGTCTGCCCGGCCAGCGGTTGCTTGATTTAAATTGAAGGCCCGGGTTGGCCGATATTTTCTTTGAAAAGGGGGAAATTTCCAAACGTTGGGGAATTGCGCTTTATTCAAGTGCTCGTTTTGCGTTTGATTGGTTGTGTTTTGGCGTTGCGTTCGCCTGGTCAATGTCTATTGCCCAGAATTGTTACCCCCGGGGTGGCCGAGAGTTCTTTTGAAAAGGGTTTCCAAAATAATTGCAGGCCTCTTTTTTTCAGGTGTTCGCTCTGCATGAATGATGGGTTGTTCTTTGGCGTAGCGACCGCCCATCAACGGTCATTGCGTCATTTCCCTAAAATTGAAAACCCTGGGCCGGCGAGGGCCGCGTGGGAAGAGGGAGGTTCGAAGGCTGGAGAGGGGGTCCAGAGAAACGCTTGCGTTTGTAGGGCTCGTTGTTTCTCACGGGCGTTCAGATTTCGGCGGCGTTGATGGAATGAGGGCCCCATAGAAGGTGATCAGTTCTCCGCGATGTCTGGATGCTTCCAACACGAGTGTCTTCGTTCGGCACGGAAAATTTACCCGCGCGCCCGAGATAATTTCTTCGGTGGACCTGGGACAATTTTCCGCTCGCCCGAAATCATTGCCTCGTTCGGTCAGCGGAATTTCCTGGTTCGCTGGGGCAAATTCTCGCTCTCCCGCCGAAATTGTATTCTTCTGCCGAAAATTGTTTCCTTCTCGCCTGTCGACCTTGATATTGGGCCTCGGCGTGGAAAAGTCGCTGAGCACGTCGGCGTCGTCAGTGATGTGGACCTCGTCTTCAACGAGCCGGGTGACCACACCGCGATGTAGTCCGTCCGAGATCTTGGTCCTAGGCCTCTTTTGGTACTTCGTCGCCTCGAAGAGGTCGGCCATCGCGTCGCCTTCGCGTGTCGTCCTGTGTGGGCACAGGGTTTCGAAGGCCTCCATGAGGTTGCGGATGCCGCGTTCGAATTCCGCTTGGCGAGAACGGCGGTCTTGTGGCAGATGGCGGGCTGCAGGTCGTCGCTCTTGAGCGCGAGTGCTTTGCGCCTTGCCGCTCTTTCGAGCTTCCTGATTGTACGGGTTGCAATCCAGAGTATTGCACGTGTAGGTTGAGGCCCCAGCTCCAAATTCGCAACCCTTCTTTTCCCTAAATCCACGACGTTGCTTGACCATCCCGGCTTGGTGTGCAGCCGCCCCCCCTATCGTGCTGATTCGGGCCCATCGTGGGGGTCGGGCTGCCGATCCACGGGCGCGCAAGCGCGTAGATGAAGAATACAAAGAGGATGAAACCCTGCGCTGCAGGGGGTTTTCGCGCTGCGAGTGGTGAGGACAGTAGGCCTACTGCCGGCGCGGCCAGGCTGGAACAGCCTTTTCGCGTGGGCGAACCGCTCCGCTACCACTGACATCGCGTGATATCTAGATTTAGTTGATATCTTTTACCCAACTGGAGATGGCTGAATGGTCTAGGCGCTTGAGCCATCATGGTTAAAGACAAAGGGATGAAAGGGGCTAGCAGCAGCATGCAAAGCGTTCCACACACAGATGCCAAGTTACTTACACACACTGTGCACCTCTTGGGGTCATCTTGTGGCACCCTTGGGAGCCTTGAGGGCCATATTGGGGCCATCTTGGAGGACTTCGATCAAAGGAGGGGAGCTTCTGAATCAGGGTCCCCCCCAGGATGCCAAAATTTGGCTTTGAAACGCATATGAAGTAAATGATTTTGGCCTTCTCGTCAACGCCATCTGTGACGATTTAACTGGCCGCGCCCCCCCCCACTCCCCCTCAAGGTCCAGGGGTAGGGGGTATGGGGGTATGGGGGAGGGGTCAAGACACCCTCCCCGCCCGCAAGCCGTCTCGCTCACTCCCACCCGCCCTCCCAACACATAAGTAGCACCCGAACCGCAGCATGTTCAGCGGTAGTCTTTGGATGGACAGAACCAACACAGACTCCAGGTGCGCAGCGCGAGGGCGAGGTGCGCCACGCGCGCCAGGCAACCCTGTGGCCTAAGCATGTTGAGATGCCTGGTGCGCCATATGTGCAGCATGCTCCAGCCGCGCCAGGTGCGCAAAGTTCGGGGCACGCGCAGAGCGTGCAAGGTGCGCTTACGCACGCAGCAGCACACATCGGGAAACGTGCCGGCCCCCACCGTCCTTGTCGAGAACCAGTGTGCAATCGCGGCGGGGTGGGCATCATGGCGTCTGGTTGGCCTGCACATAGCAGCCAATATGCCAGCACCCCCGCCGTCCCAGTCAAAAACCAAGGGGCAGTGATCGCAGGGTGCCCGCGCATGATCCAGATTTTGCCTTGATGTGCATCTCGTATTATTTTTTGTTAGTGATGCTTGCCCTGCGCGCAGCAGGCAATATGCGGGCATCCCCCGCCGTCCCTGTCCAAAAACAATCCAAAATGCTAGTGCCCCCCCCGGCCATGACCCAAGATTTTGCCCCAAAGTGAACTTCACACTGTTTTTTGACAGGGCTGGTGTGGGGGGTCTCATTACCCCTGGTTGGCTGCCAGTCGCCTGGGGAGGGGGTGTTTATTTATAGGGAACACTGATGCAGTGATAAATCCTTCCTCGAAGGGGAAGAAGTAGGGCTGGAAGAGGAAACGATCTAAACCGCTCACGCCCTAAAGGGCTGGCGAGGTTTTGTATCCGCCAAGTAGGGGGGGAGGGCCTGGAGGATTTCGATCCCCGAAATGAGCCCGTCACGTGATGTGCAAAGTTGGAGAGGGCCCCCCGAGGCGGGCGAGGGCGAAGCGCCGGGCCTCATCGAGGTCGCGAATAACGACCTGGCCGCGGTGAGCGTCGGCATCCTGCGGGCGGCTGAGAGCCGGAAAATGTTCGAGAAGGCGCTCGCCACCGCGTCGCTGCAGCCCGGCGAGCGCACAGAGCTGCGCCCACCCCAGGTGGGATAAGGAGGCGGAGAGGGAGAAGGGGGAGGAGAAGGGGGAGGGGGAGGAGGAGGAGGAGGAGGAGGAGGAGGAGGAGGAGGACGACGACGACGAGAGTGGCCGTGCGGCCAAGCAGAAGGATGATGATAATGAGGAGGAGGAGGAGGAAGAGGAGGAGGAGGAGGAGGAGGAGGGATAGGAAGAGGAGGAGGAGGAGGAGGAGGAGGAGGAGAAGGGCTGCGAAGGATGAGGAAGGAAAAGTCCCTGCCTCCCCCCCCCACATGCGCCGCCCTCGCTGGCTGCATGGCGCGTTGAGATATTATGGCGCTTTCTGGCTCTGCGCGGTGCTCCACGGGCGGGCGAGGCTGTGGGTATGCCCCATCGAGGCCGCTTCCCCAGCCGTGCCTGGTCCTCCGCGCGCGCGCGCCGGCTGCGCTTCGTCGGCCCCGCCGCGATGCTGCGCACGCGGTTGTCGAGCAAGAAGGTGAGGGCCGAGGAGGTCTGGCGGACAGCGTCCCACGCACACACCACGGCCCTCAGCAGCAGCAGCACCAGCAGTAGTAGCAGGCCGAGGGCGGCAAGCCGCGCCTGCCGCAGGTCGGCCTCGGCCGCGTCTTCGAGGTGGAGGTCTCGTACTCGGACGGCAGCCGGGCGCTCTGCGAGGCGAGGCCTGGCCAGCGAGTCTCCGTGGAACGCTATGTGTGAGGAGCGCCGTGGACGCCGCGGGCGCCGCTGACGGGCGCGCGAGAACGCCGCCGCCGCGGCAGCTCGCGAGACCGCCGCCGCCGCGGTGCGCACGGCGCCTGGGGTTAGCGGCTAGACCTTCTGGCCCGCGGGCGTCGCCACGAAAAGTCACCCGAGCGCTTGTCGGACCTGGAGGTGGTCCTTCTTGGCGGGCGCTCCTGCTGCCTCTGTCTCTGTCTCTCTCTCTCTCGGGCCTCCTGGGGGCGCCATCGTCTCCACCGTTCGGTTCGCTTCGAAGTCTTGGTTACGGGGCGCCCCAGGACAGGTCTGGGGTCTGGGGCCGAGTCTGAGGGGTCGGGCCCAGAACCTCATACCATTCCGCAGAAATTGCCACGACGGGTGCTTCTTTTAGTTTCGGTGTCCCTGGAGCCGTCTTCGGGCCCCGGGCAAGCAGAGAAAATACCCGCGAAACAAAAATGAACAATGAGTCCGAGGACGTCGTCGAGTAATTGTGGGGGCCTGCGTCGTGAATGAGTCACGATGTCGGAGGACTGGGTACTGTTATTCCTCTCAGCCAAGCAGGGCCATCACCATTTGGGGCATGGAGTATCAGAGCGCCCCAGGGTTCTGGAACCCTTTCCGAGAACAGCGTCTGGAGGTGTCTCGAGCACTCCAGAGCGGTGAGACCCGATCCTCCAATCGCTAGCCCTTTGTGGCCCTCGGGGTCGCCATTGACTCCCAGTGATCGCAGTGGCCGCCCAAGACACCCGTTCTTTTGCATTGCGCAGTTTTCCATTGCATCGCGTTGCTTTGCCAGGGTTTGCGCTACTTTGCGTTACTGTGCGGTGCATTTCATTGCGCTGCTATGTTTGGCCTTGCGTTGCCATTGCATTGATCTCGCTTCGCTGGTGCTTTCAGCTTCGGTGTTGCTTTCAAATGCATAGTTGTCCACCGTTTTGCGCCGTAACCCCTTGCTTTGCATTCAACTTTGCCCTGCATGTTTTGTCTTGCAGTGCTTCGAGCTGCTTTGTGTACTTTGTGTAGCTCTGAATTGCTTTAACTGCTTTGACTTGCTCTGTCATGCTTTGCATGGCACCCTTATCGAAGGAATAATACCTCTTATTCACCAGGGTCTCGCCGAGTTCATGTCTCTTTGAGTGTAGAGTTTGCTTTATACGCCTGCCCTAATTAAGGTTACCAGGCCCGTGCCCGTCACCCGCAGAACATATCGTCATCATGATCGTCACCACCATTTTGCCGCGGCCATTCTGGCTGACGCCGTTCAGGCACACAAACACGCACGCACACACGCAGGGCGCGGAACTTCCTCCACGGGAGGAAGGGGCCAACATGGCTGCCGTCAGCGTGGGGGCCTGCGGGGACTCCAGATTCAGATCTCGTCGATCTCGACGACCGCCCGCGCCTCACGATCGCGTTGCGCACCGAAAGGGGATGTGTTGGGGGAAGACGACGGTGATCAATCTTGCCTGCATGCTGGAGCACCTCTGCTATCGGGTGCTGCTCGTAGATTCGGAACAGCAGTGGTCACTTTCCAAGTGCCTGCTCAGCCGCCCCGGCGGAGTCCTCGCCCAGCTGGTGCTGGACGCCTATGGCATTCCCCTGCCGCATCCGAATGCTCGAAGGAGCGCCTACCGCGAGTAGCTGATGGCGAACCTCGCGAACGCTGCGAGCCCGCAGAGGAGGTCACTACGCCTTTACGTGCTGCCTCACCACAACACGATCCCCCTTGGCCAGCCCGGCGGTGGCGCCTACCCCTCGCTCGCAGGGACGGCGTGTCGCACAGAACTGATCGACCGCGGGCCCGTGGAGGCGACATCAGCGAGGCCCAGTGGGGAGATCCGCCTCCTCCCTGGCGATCCGAAATTTTGGATCCTCAGCGAGGCCCTCGAGGAGGCCCAGAGAGATTGGATGAACAACCGGCAGGCGCTGCGTGATCTCCCCGGCGAGCTCTATCACGACCCAGGCGGCCGCAGACTTTCACAGGAGCGATGTTGTCCTGATCGATGTGCCCCCGCTGTGACCTCGCTGACCGCTGACCTGCTTCCTTTTTTCTCAAGCCATTATCCTGTTGCCTGAGGCAAGTTCCGCTACCATGCCAGCGCAGCGCGCTGTGCGCGTCTCTTCCCCTGATCTAAGCGAGCCGTGCTATGTGACAGCTGGTTTCTGCTGTGTAGCGAAGCCCGTCCATAACATATGTGAGCGTAGGGAGCAGGAAGAAAAAAAGAAAACAGGGGAGAAGAAGGGTAAGGGGACAGTGTCCTGATCTCAGGACGCAGATACAGAAACAGAAAAAGAGGGTGAGGAGAAAGTTTGCAATGTCTGTTTTGCAATGTTTCTTAGGACGTCTTGGGGCCCTCTTGGGGTGTCTTGGGGGACTCTTGGGGCCCTGAGGGGCCCTGAGGGGCCTCTCGGGCCATCCGGGGCGTTTTGCCGCTTTCGGGGGCCCTCTCGAGGTGTCGTGGCCCTTGTTCGGGCCACCTTGGGGTCCTCCGTAGGCTCTCTTGAGTCTTCTTAGGGTCCTCTTGGGCGTCTTGGGGGCTTCTTGCGCCCCTCTGAGCCAGGCTTGGTGTCCTCTGTCCCCCCCCCCAAAGCGTGGGAAGCCAACCAAACGCATAAACGCCATAGTTATTCCAATGATTGCGAGCCTCCTGGATCTCTCACGCGAACTTTGGGCATTCTATGAAGGCCTCTTCGGCTCTGATTGGTTTCGAGCCTCTTGTGGATCATGAAGGCCTTCGTGATTATGCTGTGGAGCTCGCGCGGGACATCGCTTCGACCAGGCTGCAAGCGTCCCGCGACGACGACGGCGGCGACTGGATGGAGAAAACCAGGAAGAGGAAGAAGGGCTTCCCGGCTCCTTTTCCGACTGAGTCCAGGCAGGGGCGGCGGCCCCGGCGCCATCGTTGACAAGCACGGCAGGGCGGTCATCGACTCGCACGGCATGGCTCGCATTTTGCGGAGCCACAGGGCGGCCACATTCGCAGCGGCAGGCGTAGACGACGACAAGCTCGGCGACTGGTTTGCGGACGACGCGGCGAATAGAGCTGCGCATGGCCCGCCTCAACTTCATTGGGGAAGCTTCCAGATTCGCCGGAAGAACATCTCTGCGGCCATCTGTCAGGCCAGAAATTGCTCTCTGGGGCCCGATGGGATCCCCCACGGGGCCTGGCGTGCCCTGGGCAGCCTCGCCGTGGATACCCTTCACAACGCACTGCGAGATCTGGCGTCACTAGACGGGCAGCGCATTCTGGAAGAGTTACCCGCCGACTTCCAGGAAACGGAGGAGAAGGCGGTGCGCCTACTTCTGCCTGGCACAGGGGCCTGGCGCACTGCGACCGCCGCTGAGGACTTGAAGGTGGCTCGCTTCCTGGACCAGTTGGTGGACATGTCTGCTGTGGCCGTAGCCGCCAAAGCCGGGGCCCATCGATTCGAGGCGGGTTCCATGGCAGGGCTGCAAATGGAGGACCGCGTCCCTCGATTGGACCAAGTACCTCTGGCTCATTGTTCCCTGGCCCGCAGCTCGTGGGCGACGCAGTGGATGCACGTCTCGTTCCTCCACATCTTGCCCCCAGCTCCTGCTCGCGCCAGCGCGCTGCTGCGGCGCACCGGTGGCGTGGATTCGTGGAGGACTTCGCATGCGGGATGGCCGGGCCACATGGCGAAATTGTTGGCGGTCGGCTGCAGGGGAGAGGCCACGCGGCACTTCCGCCGGAAGCTGGACAGATGGCGGTTGGACGTCATCCCCGGCCGGCGGTTGGGCAGAGCGTTGAAGGTTTGGGACGTTTTTGCCCGCCGCCCAACATATCGGGCGCAGACCGCGTTCATCCGCATTGCGACGAATGGCCAGTGCAGTAGCATCACTTTGAACAGCGCGGCCATTGCCCCTTTCCGCTGTGGGGCCGAAGAGGAGTCACCTGGCTTGCTGCAGCGCGGTGCGCGCGATCCTTTCCACCCACCTGCGCGGCCGCAGTTTTCGCGCGTCGCAGACGCTCGACGACTTTCTTTGCCTTTCTTTGCATGCCTCCAAGGGGGGCATTGCGTCGCGTGGACTGGGGCTTCCCGCCATCTACCGCTTATTAGATACACTCGTGAACAGGGGCCTGTCCCACAACGACTTCCGGGGGGCCTTCCGACAATGCGCCCAGTTCGTGTTCAAGTCAATTTTGGCTCCTGCGCTGGACACTGTCCTGCCGCGTTGTGTTCGTAATTATCATGTCGGGGGCGGTGGGGAATTTTGGGACACTCGTTGGCCTGTCGGACCACTCGAGTTACCCTTCGATGTTTACACATATATGTGTGCAGGTCGTGCATACAAATACGTATGTTTGCATGTAAATGTTTACGTATCTGTATATGCAGCTGTCGATGCATACGTGCATTTATGAGCAAGTGTAATTATAAATGTTTGTGTGCATGTGCATGTGCATGCACATGCATATTTAGTTGTGAAGGTGCATGTGTACGTGTGTATGCTTGTACTATAGATGTAGTGATATACGCATGTACACATGTATATGGATATTTGCAGCATCAGCGGTAAACACCGCAATAACTGAGAGGGACATGCCAGGCATCGATTCGAAGGAGGATTTCCAGAACAGGTTCCAGGAGGAGAAAAACGGTCGGCAAGGGGTTCCCAGAGGACGTCTCTGCAACGATGTCCGCGCGCTGGGAATGGGTGGAAGAGCTGATGGTAGACCAGCAAGCAGCACGCAGGAGGCTCGACGCCGCCGGGCACGGGATGAAGCTCCAGGGGGGAAGGCCAAGCTGGAGGAGGTGGAGAATGAGGAGCAGAGGAGCGGAGACAAGCAGAACGGCAACGGGAAGAGCAGCAGGGGGCGCGGACCAGAAGATGACGGATTAGGTTTCGAGCTCGCGCTCAAAGTGGAGCGGCTGTGGGCGACCACGGGGGCGCAGGCGAAGGCTCTGCAGAAGCTCGACTCCCTGCGCGCCAATTCCGTTGCGCCCCAGAAGAAGACAAGAACGTCACCATGAAGGAATTCTACTCGGCTGTAGACGGTGTCGCGAAGGAGCTGAGCGCCGCGCTTATGAACGACATCAGCAGCGTGGGCCCAGAGGGATCAACAGTGATTGTGCAGGTGAAGATCCAGGCCGCCAGGAAGCGCATTTTCGACATCATTCATCATTGGATCGACACGATGGGCAAGGCACATGTTGTTTTGCTACATGGGAGGGGGGGGGGGGGCGCGCCGCGTGCCGCTGAAGGCCAT